AGGAATAAGATCCTCCGGAAAAGGGCTTTTTTTCCGGAGGATCGGGGCCAGTGTAGACGCTCTTTTCCGGCTTTTCTAAAAGCCGGAAAAAAGCGGCGGACATTTTTATTTAAATGCCGCGGGGGATATTTAAATCCCCCGCGGATTTCCCTATTACGACCTGTGAAATTAGCATGCCCCTTTCGGAAAAGGGGCCAGTGTAGACGTAGCCTGAGAGGGAGCTTGTGTGGGGAAAGGGTGCAGGCTCTAGAAAGGAGCAGGGGATTGGGAGGCAAGAAGAGGGGCAGGCTCAGGGAGGGAGTTTGGATGCAGGAGGGATGTGAGATGGAGCTTTGGGGGTTTTGGGTGCAGGTGAGGGTCTGGGGTGAAGACTCTGGGATGGAATGTGGGTGCAGAAGAGAGTGTGAGGGATGCAGGCTCTGGGAGGGAGTCTTGGTGCTGGCTCTGGTATGGGATGGGGGGGGGAGTCCTAGGTACAGGTTCTAAGAGGAAGTTTGGGAATTGGAGGGGGGAGGGAATTTTGGGGTAGACAGGGATGGGTGAGTGGGTGCAGGCACTAGAGATAATGGGATGCACAAAAGAGAATGTGGAGAATGAATGAGAAGTGCTACAATCCCCTCCTCCCCCCATCAATGGCTCCTGGAGTGTGGAGGGTCTGTTGGTGCTCCCCATTCCCACGCTCCTCTCCCCACCCCCAAACATTCCCCCAGCCTCCCTGCCATCCTGTACACTCTCCACAAGTGTTCTACAGCCCCACCTGCCAATCCAGGGTGAGTTAAAATGCCCCAGGGGAAGGTGTCCACCGCCTCCCGCAGTGCAGCAGAGTTACAGCTACTTTCTACTGCTTGCTCCTGGCATGTGCATCCCTGTGGTTGGGGAAGGAAGGGAGGGGTCTCCGTGCACTTCTAGAGCAGTGCACAGTGTGGCAACCCTGCTGCCCTCTACTCCTGGCCATAGCGACGCACATGCTGGCTGCTGGGGTGAGCGACTGACCAGAAGCCACTCTAACCCCTCTGTGCTGCCAGTGGTAATGGTTCCTTCTCCTCCCCAGAAATTTAGATTACCCAGGGGTGGCAGGTGGGGCCAGGGCAAGCAAAGGGGGAGTGGGCAGGGGATGCAGGCCCAAATGGCAAGTTTAAATGGAGCCCAGCTCCGGGCCAGAAATATTCCTGGTGCCAGAGCACCACAGGTCCATATATATCCCCATTTGTAGGGTTTCAGAGGTTTGTCAGTCTTTCTTCTGAAATCCCAGACTACTGGAGTGAAAGCAATGGGTCTTAAGTCTGCTATCTTGAGTATGTTGTTTAGTGAAACCAAGCAATGCAGGAGAGAGAAATCTTAGTGAGTTTGTTCACTTTGTTTGCTGTGCATTAGGATTGCCTGCTGGTGCACTCAGTATATTCAGCACACTTTCAGAAAAGAAGCACCAGTATGGGCACTATCACTGAATTCAGCTTATTTCATAAAAAGAATTAGGTGCTCAACCAACTCACAAGCTCTAGTAAGGTATAGCTGATGTGGCAGACAAAGGGATAATTCAGTATTTGCCTATATTCTCCATAACCCAATCATACTTGAGTCATCAACAAAAAAACATCATTATGTCACATCCTTAATAGATACACTTTAGAGATTTTAAATCAAGAAGATTAACAGTGGTTAAACAGAGTGAGGGGCGGGGGATTCCAGATGGTGTAGCACAAGACAAGAGGTGATCCTCAGTGAATCTCAAGGGAAAGGACAAGCAAGGAAACTAGGATTAGCTGACCTGTGTGAGCAGACAGGGAGTAACAGTGGTTAGAGACTTGAATCCATGGAGAGTGTGTAAAAATCAGATTGGTTTTAAATTAGATACATAGATGACCGAGAAGTCAATGAAGGTGAAAGAAAATGGACGTGGTGTAGTTTCTGGCCATCTCATGTATATCATAGTAATACATATATCAGGATCAGCTACTTTTTGGAAATGTGTCCCCCAAATAATGCACATGTATGTCTTTCCCTCCCTTCATTAGGTGAGATGCAATTCTTTCCGACCAGAATCTGCAAGAGAGCAAATCTATACTGGAGTTCACAGCCCTCCTCATTTCAGGTAGAGTTAATACTATAGCTGTTTAAGATAAGACAGCCATAATTAGCCTGTAGCAAGAGGGGGCAACCGTCCAGGGTGTAGAGCTGGAAAGGGCACAGTAATGGAGCAGCAAAAGATGAGACCCACCAGTGTTGGCTAGAGTTCATGAGTATAGTGTGGGGCAGTGGGGCTATTGCTCCCCACTTCTTTTCTCCCTCCCCACAATAGAGGTGGAGTCTGGTACTGAAGGAGGTGGTATGGAGCTGCTTGTCCTCCAGGGTGCTCATGCCTCAGTAGCTAGACATCACCTCCTTGATCCTAATGTTGGTCGTCTTGCCCTTCTATGTTTGCTGGGTGCTCTGTATGGTTTGTCTGTATAGTGATGAGTGTCCACAGGGGGCATATTAGAGAAAGGGGGTGAAGTTAGGGGAAGAGGCAGTGGGGAAAGAAGAGGCTAGGGCAGGAGGAGAGTGGGGAAGGAAGATAGGCTGGGCAAAAGAAGAGGGGGGAAGAGTGATACAGGAATTGTGGGGTGGGGATGGGGTAGAGTAGAGGTGGGGAAAATGTTTTGGATCTGGGACCACTGACCCACAGAGAAATTAGCTGGGAGCTATACACAAGTGAGAAGCAAAAAAGAAAAATCAAACCCTCACCGATGTAGCCCCCAACTGAGAAGCAGAAAGACAATCCCCCACATCCCCCTCATACACCAGAGCCTGGGGGATGGTGGCGGCGGGGGAGGGAACAGAACAGACAGGCTAGTAGATTTTGTGTGCTCCACTCCCACAGTGGAACAGCGGGGGTGGGGCAGGGCTGGAGTGCTAGCGCAGGCTTCCCAATGCTGGGGGGAAACTGGTACCCCATAGGTAGCAGCCTCTTAGCAGCAGCTGGAGCTCCCCTGTTAAGCCAGCCCATCCCACCCCAGCACTATCAGTCCATCTCCCCGGGGGTACCTCTTTTGCCACAGGTACTCCTTTCAGCATTCCCCAAATATCCCCTCCACCTGCGCCTGGAAGTGTCCCCTATTTGGGCACTTGAAATATGGTAACCCTTGGGGTAACTCCATTCTCACAGGCCTGATTTCTGGAACTGGCAAGAGCAAGTCCACCCTGCCAGCAGCACTTGCCCCCCAGGGTTCGGGGTAAGCATGAGGCTTGCATAGCCAAGCTCAGAACTCAGACTATGTGACTGCAAGCCCAGCCATGAGAGGGAGCTGGTTCAGGCAGCAGGGCAGAGAGGGCTGTTAGGCAGCCAAGAAGTGCGCAGACTACCACCACCAGGGGGCCCATGCAGGCCAGGTGGCTCCTACCAGCTTCTGATCTACCAGCTCTTGGCAGGAGGCAACAGTTTTCAAACTGTATGGCACAGCTCCATATGGAGGTGCACCCCACGGAATCCCCCATGCTAAAGAGGAGGTCAAAATCTGGAGAGACCTGTGAGCCGGCATGCCACTCTCCCCAATATCTCTAAAGGATGCAAATCAGGTGTATTGAAACAATTTTTATATTGGGGATGTTGATGATGGAAGCCCCAACTCAAAGAGGAATTTTTTTGGGGGTACAAAGTTATAGTATGGGATTTGTGGTATTGCTACACTAACTTTTGTGTTACTACCATCAGAGCTAGGCTATTAGTCAGCAGCTACCATTCTCTGACCCCACAGCTCTGAAAGTAGTAGTACAAAAGTAAGGGTGGTATGGATATGATATTACCACCCTTCTTCTGCACTGCTGCTTCAGAGCTGGGCACCTGGTCAACACTACACCCACCACTCTCCAGTTGCCTAGGTCTGAAAGCAGTGCAGACATAAGGGTGGCAATATGTGACCCTCCTAAAATACTCTTGTGTTCCCCCTGAAACTCCTTTTTGGATTAGGACCCCCAATCTGAGAAATACTGGTCTCCCCCATGAAATCTATATAGTATAGAGTAAAAGCCTACAAAAGACCAGATTTCACAGGGGACACTGGATTTCACAGTCCATGACACATTCCATGACACATTTTGCCTGGCTGTGAATTTGGTAATGTTGCCATGTATTGTTTGACATCAGTTCTATTTGTTAACTGTAACTGTATTTTCAATAATTAGCAGTGGCTATTCATTTGTAATAGCTGTGTCTCAAATAAGTGGCTGATACTGCAAACAGAATTTCCACTGTCTTCAAAGTTTTTAAATGCAGATTCTGAATATTGTCGTGTGGTTCGTTTTTTAGATCCAAGAGAATCAAGACACTCCAGAGAGTTAACCACTTACTTATTTATTACAAGTTTTAAGCAATTAACATAGTTGTCTAATTTTTACAGGCCTTACAAACAATGACTATACAATTTAAAATATTTAAGTTTTAAAAGCTAAGCAATTAATACAGTGCAAAGCAATGCAAAAGCAAGTTATAGAAGATTATTATAATACAATAACTAAGTTCACTTACACTTCACCCGTAAGCTATCTATAGTACCAGGCAGGAGGTTGTGGTTACGTAGATTCCCACATGTAAGAATGCCATGCACTGGGGTCGCCAGAGTGAAGGGGTCCATTCCTTCTAGTTACATTGAAAGCAGGACCTGTGGGTCAATCCTGCTTATTCCCTCCCAGGGCACATCAAAACTACTTTTTTTTTGGAAGAGGATATGCAAATTCCCACAGAATTCCGTGGGAATTTGCATAGCTTCTTCTAATCTCACTTTTGAAAGAGGATCTTTCAAAAATGAAAGTAGTCTGGATGTGGTATTTTTTGAAAAAAACCCTTTCTCGAAAAAACACGTAGATTTCATTTTTTAAGGAAGAGCATTTTTTTGAAAAGGGGGGGGGGGGGACTCCAAAAACCCCATGTCCAGACTACTTTCACTTTCAAAAGATCCTCTTTTGATAGTAAGATTGGAAGAAGATATGTAAATTCCGCAGGAATTAGAACGTAGTCTAGACATAACCCCACTGACTGTTCTTACTAAACCCAATTTATAGCAAAGCAAGACTTGGTCATTTTAGTAATATCTACCAATCAACTACATTTTGCATAAGATACCTATTATGCCAATATCTAGGATACATTTTGCTATGCCAAAATATTGCAAAAGAACTTGATTAATAGTTTTTCCACTGTCTCTGGAATTTTTCTCTTATCAAAAATGGGATGTACTAATTTCTGGTTGTTTCTGTTCTTCTTGGCATGGTCTCGCTGTTCTTTACAAGTTACACATGATTGGGCAAGCACTCTTGAATCCCCCTACCCTTTTTGGCCTGGTCTGCGTGCGTGCATGCGCCAGACTTGAATCAGGCCTAGGGCGACTTTGTTAGAGATCCATACTTTGGACAAGGTCAGAACAAGGCCTTCCACTGCAGACATTGTGGTTCTGGTCAAGGGAGGGCCATCCAGGCTCCCCTACAAATATGCATCTGAAATCTGAATGTTTACAGATACTTTATTACATGCAGCCTAGTAGTATATCGTAGTTCTCCCCAGAAAACTATTAATAATTTTTTTGCACTGCAAGTATCCCTACCAGCAGAAAGGCCAATCTGTGTGATGGGAATTTCTTTCCCACCGTGCTGAGCTACATTTAGGGTTGCCAGGTGTCCAGTATTTTTGCCTCCTGTCTGGTAAAAAATATTCAGAAAATACCAGACACCTAAAATGTCCGGTATTTTCTGATTTTTTTTCCTGCCAAGAGGCGAAAATACCGGACACCTGGCAACGCTCAGCAACTGGGCCTGGCCTGCCTCCGCCTCCTCCCCCTCCCCCGCCTATCGCCCTGGACCCCCCGCCAGGCCCCCCTGCCAATCCCCCCTTCCCTGGTTCTGCAGGGGCTTTTCTTGTGGCTGGAAAGAAAAACAAAAATGGACATGCTTTCTTTCTGGTTAACAACTTTGGTCTCCTCTTTTTTTTTTTCTCAAAAGAATTTTTTTCCCGGTGCTTTTTTTTTTTTTTTGGGGGGGGGGGGGGGGGGGTTCAGTATTTTTGGTTAAACCATCTGGCAATCCTAGCTACATTGAAAGGCTGATTGTATGGAATGGAGAAAAAGTGCTACTTCACTGCAGACTGAGGATGAAAGAAGCACACGATTAATTGCTTAGTAGATATACTTGTGTCATTTGCTCAGGTTTTCACTTGTTTTAGTACCATTTTAGACTTCACATTGGTAAATACTAAGAGGCTAAAGATACTTAGAAGTAAACAAAATGCAATTTTACCAATAGTAAAATAATCGTAGCTGACTCTCATAAGGGAAATCAGGAAAGGGAGGTCAAGGATTCAGTGCATACAGAGAGGAAACTGTTGTCTCTACTGGAGGTGGTCTCTTCAGGCTGAGATATAGGCATATTGCCAGGACGGTGTAGGGACATTTGTTCTCCTGTTTTCTGTGCTGTGCTTGTTTGTTGAGTGACAAAAGACAAATTTCATTCCATTAGCCTGGCATCTTTCCTGAATGCTAGGAGCTAGATTTGGACACCCTCACTGACTTCACTGGAGCTTCTTACAGAGTAAGGTCTTTCTCAGTGCTTCAGGTGACACAATTTTGGCCGTATGTTAATTTAAAGGAAAACTTTCCCTGAAATTCAAAACTTTCCCAATGCCTCAGAATAAAGAAAAGAGAAATCTAACTTCCACAAATAGAAAAAAATCTGAACTTTAAAACTTCAGCAGAACTTTGCAGGATCTGCAGTGTATAATTGCAAAAAACTCCGATATTGTGTTTTCTTCCTTTCTTTAGAGTTATTGGTGCAATGAGCAACTTCGAGGAGTTCCGTAAAGCTTTCAATTGCCCAGTAAATTCAACTATGAACAGAGGTGCAGAATCCTGTCGGCTATGGTAGATGGTCTTTTTAAATCTGGTGCCAAGAGGGTTTTTTAATACAAAGTGCTGTTTCTGAACTCTAACCCTCTGCTTACAGCTTCAGAGCAACGTTCAGCAGCATGGAGAGATTTTATTTTTTTGTAATGCATCTTCATCATCTGGGTGGGTGACCTGCACAAATCTAACCATTGTCTGTTTATGATTTGGAAGCTTTAAAAATCAGACAGGAGAAAGAAGATTCAGGAAAAAAATTGACACTCCATGGTTAGATTGCTGTTGATGGATTGCTGCCATTACTCATTCTACTTCCTGATCTATAGAGCTAAATGTAGAATACAATTTTAATCTATTGCTTTGCAGGAAGGCTGAGCAAAATCTTCCCTTACAAAATTCAGTCCTTCCAGATTTTCTTTATTTCATGATAACTGTTATGTAGCCAGTGCTGATCTCCTGTGCACGATACAGTTTTTTGGTAACATACGTTATGGCTACACAGCATGCCATCAATGATTTTCCATGATGTTAAGACACGAGATCTTATATAAATTCAATTTAAGAAGTCAGATCAATGCCTGAGGTTGAAGCAGCTCCTCATTGTTTCCATCTGCACTGACTAATCTCAAAAATTACTTGTCAAGTCCTGGGCCGCCTTCATGAGTGCCTTAATAGCACCATATGGCGAAAATCTAAGAGTGGAAATGAGGTGAGGGTAGGGAATCCCTGTCACTGTGAAACACTAGAATGATTGCATTATTATGTGTAGCCTTAATTCCTGTTCCTAAGAGGCACACACTTGCAATATGGGGTATAGTTCACCTTTGTATACAGGGCCTGAACAAGGAAGCTGCACCACTAACATCTCGTGAAAGTCCCGTGCAGTACCTACGTCCCACTTGAACCCTACAAGCTGGGGTTTAAGTGAAATATAAGTGGTTTATAGATTTGTATTCAATGTGAGCTCTACTCATGAGCAATTGCTCAGTGCCCCAAGAAATGTAAAGACCCCCATTCATGTGTTGTATGCATGGGAGCCCCCTAATGGGCAATCACCACCTCTGTTTGTACTAGCCCCCTGCACAGGAGTGACATCCACCCATCTCTAAAGGGGAGATGTGACTCAGGAGCGTAGCATCTTGAATGTTGTCCTTTTTGCCTCAAAAGACATATTTCGAGATGGGGTATGTAACCAGGCAACTTAAGTCCTTCATCTGATTTCCACCAATAATATTCTTAAAAGCATGTTTTCTATTGTGGTAAACTATATTATGTAGTAGTTAGGAAAGAAAGGCAACCAAAATAATCTCTTGCCCAAGGAAATATATAGAAGTGGGTTTTAGGTATAATGTACAGGATTTAACTGATTTTTACATAGAAGAATAATTTCACGTTGTCAGAAGTTTTACTGTAGTAGTTTAATAAAAAGATCTTCCCCTTTAAATGGCTTGGCTTAAAAAAACATTACTAGTATCAAAACAGGGGGTTAAGGTTACTGAGTAAGGCTGATTGAATTTTTTTTCCAGCAAAACCGGCTTTAATCAAAAATCCAATTTTCTATCAAATAAAAATTTTCATTAAAGTTGTCTTTTTTTCTGTGCCTCGTATGGGGGGAGGGGGAGGTGATGCACTGGGGAAATATAGTTTGCTCAAGGAGCCCAGCCTAGACAGGAGAATGGGAGCATGAGGGACCTGAACTATATCTCCCGTGAGGCACTGCAACAGCTTTTCTAAATAAAAAATTTTTTTGGCCAAAACATTTCACTAAAAAGTCAATTTTCTCCAGGAAGAGAAAAATATTTGCCAACTAACTTTGAGTTCTACACCACTGAAAAGTAATAATTTTCCCTGAAGTTATCTGCCAAAGTTGTAATTGAGATGATCAGTATTTTTCATAAGGCCCTCTTAACTACAGAAATAAGGACTCCTTGTTTAAGTTCTATTAATAGGACTCTATGCATGATAGAGTTGCTCTTAAAGTTACTTGTTCTAGTAAATTGACTTGTGAATACATTCATGCTCTGGACATGCATATTGGCATTATTCAGAAACAACGGATAGTCTTGTTGCACCTTAAAGACTAACAAATATATAGGATCATGAGCTTTTGGGATATAGTTCAGCTTTGTATACAGATGCAAACTCTCTTCTTCAGATGAGATGGAGTGGACTTTCCAGGGAGTTAGTGGAGTTTTTGAAGTTACACACATTATTTGAAAAAGCAGTGTAAAGTTCAGAGGTAAAATCTTGGCCCCACAGAAGTTGCTAGGAGTTTTGGTACTTACATAAATGGGACCAGAATTTCATCTGTAGGCTTATCTCTGGACAATACAGAAACAGTTTCACGATAGTCTGTTTTCTTTTGAGATTTTTTTCCTTTGTGCTCTACCGGGTCATAAATATAACGAAAATCACCTCTTCCCAGCACTCATTCTTCAACTCCCAGCCTTAGCCCAGAAGTGATGTGCACAAAAAATGAAATAAACAAAGTTAGCCAAATTGTTTTGGACATTGAAAAAATTGTAGCTCAAGTTTGAGTGTTGGGCTGAGTGCTATTCATTTGAGTTTATCTAAACATAGTAGAAGTAAGAGGAAAACACAAATAGTTAACATCACTGGGTTTCATTAACCAGTTTTGATTGACCTTTGACATGCCATAGTGATATAGACCAAAGAATTAAATCATTAGCTATTGGTCTATAAAGACTATTAACCTTCCTGCATTAGGATATAAGCCAACTACTAAGTACCTGGGGTTAGTAAGGAACTTCCCTGTTTGAGGGAGGTATAAAAGCCCCACTAGGGCATGTGGCTCTGTACAGGTCATTCTCAGACAGGAAATTGGACTAGAGAGAGGCCTGTGGTCTAGTGCTGCACAGCTCCTGTGTCCCTAAAAAAAGCTATTGTTAGCAAATAGCACTATTGCTAAGCTCCTGGCGTAGAGATTGGGATGCAACCTATTCTATAAACAGGATTTTAGCTTGCAATGGCTGACTTCCTGTGATCTTTTAAAACTCAGTTTGCCCTTGGGGGCCTCATCCCACAGTTGATTGCCCTGGTAGATGTACAAACATCTGTGAAGCTTCACTATAGCCAGTGCGATCTGTTCTTAGAGCCTGAAAATACAAACTCAACTCCTATTGAAATAGCCAAGGCAGTACTTTGGTTGTTGCCCTGTAAAATAATTATTTAGGCGCAAGAGCCACTAAAGACTCTCAGGTGAATCTTAGTTGTGAATTGTAGCCATTCTGAGAGGGAAAAATGAAACTGGACACAGGTTTTGCCTACATTTTTTAACAAACTTTTGTGTCTTTGTGGTATTTAATGCCCAAAGTAGTGAGACTTTCCAGGGAGTTAGATTATAAAAGTCAACAAAGTCACAACAATGTAACAACATACTACAGCAAACCCTTGACACCAATAATTGTGTCACAAGTGACCAGTTGAAATGGGAGCACCTGAAGAACACAATCTACGATGCAGTTCTATTAGTCTTTGGGAAGATGGAAAACTAGGCCAATGACTGCTTCAATGCATATTCATGTATTGACACCAGTCACAGTCCAAACACACAGTCCAAACTAACATCAAAAGAGACCCAAATGAATAAACCTGACAAGCATTGAGAGTGGCAAGAACCAAGGTACTTGACACTGTGCCAATGACTATTGGTTGCACTTAATGGAAAGCATCCAAGTAGCAGCTGATCCAGGAAACACTGGAAACAAATATGGTGGGATCAAGAAAGCCTAGAATACAACTTCAAAGAAGACAGCCCCATTGAAATCAACAACAGGAAAGGAACCAATGACTTCACCAAGCAGATGCATAGCTCAGTAGAACACTAGCTTTACGTCTCCTGAAAATATTGTTATGGATGCAGCCGTCACCCAACTATGATCCTACTTGATGATTAACCGACTGTCAAGGAGTTTAGCCTTGCCATATATGGCCTCCCTAATGGAAAGGTTCCTGGAAAAGACTGCATATCACCAGAGGTTATAAAATGCAGAAAATCTGTTCTAGTACAACATGTTCACAAGTTGCTCTGCCTGTGCTGGAAAGAAAGTGAAGTACCACAAGAAATGAGAGCTCTCAACATCAACACTCTCTATAAAAACAAGGGTGACAGGAGAGACTGTAATAACTGTTGTGACATTTCTTTTGTTATTATTAAAGCCTTTATCCAAGTTGTTCTGAACAGACTTTAGACCTTTGCAGACCTGTTCTGAATCACAGTGTGGCTTTGGAGTGGAAAGGTTTGCTATTGACATGATCTTCTTGCTGAGATAGCTATTTCGGAGAAATATAGAGAACAAGAAAAGCCCCTCTACATACCCTTCATTGATTTCATAAAGGCTTTTGACTTTGTCAACAGAAGTGGACTATTTGTGCTTTTTGAAAAGACTGGATGTACCACCAACATGAAAATATGTATGGCACAGTCCAATATGATAGTTCTGTTTTTGGAGCTTTCCAGATCTGTAGTGACATTAACCAAGATTGTGTACTTGCTCCTATTCTGTTTGGGATTTTCTTCTCCCTCCTACTGGAACCAGATTTTTGTTCCTCAACTGAGGGAATCTACATGCACACAAGATTTGAATCTTGTCAGACTCAGATCTAAAATCAAGACTTGGGAGGACCTTATTCTACACTTCCTCTTTGCTGATCGTGCAGCTGGGACAACCTGCCAAAGACTTTGAACTTTTTATAAGCCTAAAAGAGACTAACATAATGTGCCAAGGAGCTGAGGAAGCACATTCCATCTGGATCAACAACTGTGAACTAGAAGTGGTGAAATTCATATATCTGGGTCCATATCGCAGTCAACCTTTACTTTGAAATGGAACTCAACATTCTCATTGGAAAAGCTGCCACAAAAATGTATAGACTGAACAAGAGGGTATGGCAAAAGAAAAAACTGACAGATCACACGTAGATCTGCAAGTATCACGTATGTATTATCAGAACACTTCTGTATAGGGGTGAGACATGAACCTTATACTTTCAACAGGGACAGAGGCTCCACAGCTTTCATATGTGTTGCTTTTTGAATCTTTGGTATCTCCTGGAGGGACAGAATCACCGACACTGAGGCGTTCATATGGGCCAGCACACCAAGCATGCAATACTTCTCAACCAGAGATAACTCTACTGGCTTGAGCAGGTGTGCCAAATGAATGATGGGCATATCCCAAAGTATATCACCTATAGTAAATTGGCATCTGGAAAAATCCCCAAAGGATGCCAAAATTTCATTTCAAGGATGTTTGCAAGTGAGACCTCAAAGAAATGGACATGAATATGGACAAATGGGAAGATCATACTCATGCCTGCAGCCTTTGAAACAAGAGCTTAACAAAGGTCTCCAGAATTGCAAGAGGAAGCAGTCCAGCTTAGCACAGGAGAAAATAACATGCAGATGTCAAAGGGCAATGGTTTGAAACATTGTGACAGAGTTACAGATAAGGCAGATTGACTCTCTCAAGTGGGTCTCTTCAGCCACATTCATGGCTGCCACAAAACCAATTCAGTAAATTCTTTACTTCTCAGGGCACATATCCATGGCCTCTTGAGACTGAAGGATGTCTATATTTAGATTATGGCTCATTGATTCCAATGGAACAAGTTGACGAGTACAGAATTCCTCTATTATGCCAATGCTGCCTCCTCTTTAAAGGTGTATAATGTCCTTTTTGCCTCATTAAATGTCATTTTCACTGATCCTGGGCATTTCTAGGATCAGCTCTTTGCCATGTGGCAACACACGGTTACTCTTACTGCCAGTGGGGCCACCTTGATTCACTGGATTATATTTTAGTCTAAACCACATTGCTGATGCCCATAATTGATGTTCAATTGCTTGCCTAATAGCCAGAAGAAAGCAGAACAAAAGACAATTAAGCACATTCTTAAAAAGTGTTACAGAGAATTATAATAATGCTTTCTGATGTTTCCTCTTATTACCATTATGTCAGTGGTCCCTTTTATAGCTAGGTGGTGGGGTAACTGTCCCACACTGATGCTATGTCTAGACTGATGCTTTTTTTTTTTTTTTTTGAAAAAGTTACGCAAATTGCACTCTGCAATCTGTAGAGCTTTTTCCGATTGTTTTTTCAGAAGAGGTTTTTTCCAAAATCTGGCCCGTCTACACTGGGCCAAATTTGAGAAAAACCTTCTCTTTCGGAAGAGCCCTTATTCC